CAGGTCCCTCACACTCTGGGTTTCCCATTTTGTCATGGGGGTGCGGCAATTCGGCTTCCCCATTGCTGCTGCCAGGCCCGTAATCCCCAGGGGCCCCCCCGTACCGCCCCCTATGCTGCTCCCAGGTCCCGGGTTCTAAGGGGCCCTGTAGGGCCCCCCATTGTTGGTCTCCATCGCCACCTCTGCAAGTGCCACTTTGGTTTCCTCACATGTGGTGTTTTCCCATTTGCATGGGGTGCTGGCGTTTAAACGGGCCCTCCCTTTGCTGTGCCAGGCCGTAATCTCCCAGGGGGCCCCGTCCCCGCTCTCAAGCTGCTGCCAGGTCACGTGTCTACTGGGTCTGTCCGCCTCCCATTGCTCGCTGTCTCCATCGCCACACTCTGCCATGTGCCACTTTCGAGTTCCTCACACTGCTGGAGTGTACCATTTTGTCATAGGGTGCCTGGCAGATTCCGGGGGCCTCCCATTGCTGCTGCCAGGCCTGTAAATCTGTCATGGGCCCCTGTACCGCTTACCAATTCAACCCTACATTATGTTAGACCACCTTTACGAACAGCGAAAGGCCATCACAGATTTCCTGATGTTACAAGCGGATAAAGGTACTCCCCTGTGTAACTTAGATGTCAGCCATTGGCAGCTCATGCGTGACACCTGCCGCTTGCTCAGGCCCTTTGAGGAGGCCACGCTATTCGTGAGTCGGCAGGACTATGGGATGAACGACGTCATTCCTCTGTTGCACGTCCTGGAACAAATGCTGTTAACAATGGCTGGTCAGGGTGCGGTAGACGTGGCGCACAGATCTCAACGCCACATGACCCCTGTGGAGGCAGGACAGGTAGAAGAGGAGGTGGTAGAGGAGGACATTGGTGCTCAGGTATTATTGAGTGAAATGGGTGGTTTTTCCACTCAGCGGACAGGAGTGGAGGAGCAGGAGCATCTGGTAGAGGAGGAGGAGGATGAGACAGAGGACCCAGACGCACCGTGGCAGTATGCTGTGGAGATGGAGGCAGGGAGTCCCTCGCATTCCTTGGCACAAATGGCCCATAGCATGCTCGGTTGCTTGCGTAGCGACAGCCGAATAATAACCATCAGACAGAGGGATGACTTTTGGCTGTCCACCTTGTTGGACCCTCGCTACCGTTCAAAAATGGTGGCCTTTTTCACACCTGCTGAGAGGGAGGCCAAAATAACGTACTATAAAAACCACCTATGTAGTCAGCTGGTCTCTGCCTGTCTGCGCCAACGTCCATCCTCAGACACTGTGGGCCCTGTGCGCTCGCGTTCCGCTGCCATGGCAGCAGGGGAGGGGTGGGGTGGTAGGAGCAGTGGCAGCTCCACCAGCAGCAGCTGCCTCAGTCTGCAGTCGATGATGAGTAGCTTTCTTCACCAGCGCAGTGAGGAAACTACTAACCAGCCGCAGCAGCAGCAGCATCAGGTGGACCTGGAGCAGGACCTCAAACAACAGGCTTGGGCCTACTTGGACAGCACCCTGCCAACCGAGGTAGACAATCCCCTTGACTACTGGGCAACGAAACTTGACCTTTGGCCCCAACTAGCTGAATTTGCCCTTGAAAGGCTGTCATGCCCGGCCAGTAGCGTGGCATCGGAGCGCGTGTTTAGTGCGGCAGGAGGTATTGTAACTCCGCGGAGGACACGACTGTCCACCCAAAGTGTGGAGAGACTCACGTTTGTGAAAATGAATCAGGCGTGGATTAGTCTGGATTTCAAACCACCAGTTCCTGACACAACTGACTAAATCCACCATGAATCATGCCCCAAACATGTGCCACTTTCAGGTCTCCTCACACTGCTGGTGGGTTCCATTTTGTCATAGGGTGCTGGCAGATTACGGGCCTCCCATTGCTGCTGCCAGGCCCGTAATCTGCCATGGGCCCCCGTACCGCCTCCTCATGCTGCTGCCAGGCCCGTAATCTGTCATGGGTCCCTGTACGGCCTCCCATTGCTGCTGTCTCCATCGCCACACTCTGCCATGTGCCACTTTCAGGTCTCCTCACACTGCTGGTGTTTTCCATTTTGTCATAGGGTGCTGGCAGATTACGGGCCTCCCATTGCTGCTGCCAGGCCTGTAATCTGCCATGGCCCCTGTACCGCCTCCTCATGCTGCTGCCAGGTCCAGAGTGTGTCATGGGTCCCTGTACGGCCTCCCATTGCTGCTGTCTCTATCGCCACACACTCTGCCATGTGCCACTTTCAGGTCTCCTCACACTGCTGGTGGGTTCCATTTTTGTCATAAGGTGCTGTATGGCCTCCCATTGCTGCTGCCTCCACCGCCACACTGTGGCTCCACACTCTGGTTTTGGCCCCGTGACTGCCCAAATGAGTGAAGTGTGCGGTGATTCTAAGATCGACGGCACTCATCTGCATGTCATACTGACTGACAGTATTATTTATCTTCCCCAGCAGACTCCAAGGGCATTTAAATTAAAGGTACAGTGTTCTGCACTAATATAAAGGCTCTCTGAAACCTAGAAACACCCTTTTATAAGTTAAATTCGCAGCGTATATATTCGCCTCGAATCGAATTTATTCCTCGAATTCGCCGAATCAGCCGAATCGAATTTTTGAATACTTCGCTCATCTCTAGTGTTAACCTTTATACTGGTCTGAGAACACTTTTTTGTGGTTTAAACAGAACGTCTGCTAGTTTTTCACTTCAGTCTGGGCTACCAGTAGTGAGATTTCCCTTAACTCTTTTGCTGCCAGAGCAGGTTTTTTTTGGCATTTCAAGCAAAAATATGAGTTAAAACTTCCAAAAATGCATATTTTATAATAGCAGGAACCCTGGAGAATACGATAATGGTAGATGTAATTTTTTACGTCACACAATATTAACAAAATCACTACACATATTTTCAATATAAATCTGATAACGTTCTTTTTTTTTAATCAATATAAGTTTATTGAACACAAAAAATAAAATGACAATGACATTTGAACAGAGGAAAAGTATCCACCTACAAGACGCAACTAGTACTCCAGCATTGACACATAAGCAAGTAACATATTACTGGACAGATAAAACACACTATGGCACAATTAACTCTGTTAATAAGCGATGGTAACAGCAGTAGTGCATAGCACTAGCAAATGATAATGTAACACACCAATCCCTCCAGGTACAACTGTGGGTAGGGGGCGATCATAATGGCAATACCAGCTATTCCTATGTTAAAAGCCTATCTAGGATGAGGTCAAGTGGGGTAAGCCCTGGAACTGCCAACCAGTCCCTCCACAGGTGTTCAAACTCCCTCAGGCATCCCCTATGCTGAAATATAAAATTTTCTAGCCTGAGGGCGTCTCCCATAAGCAATTCTCCATGAGTTGCAGCCTGATCAGACTTCTGATATTTCAGAAGAAGTCGCCAAGCCTGAGAGAGTACTCTATTAATAGCAACTGCCTGCATGTCAGTCAGGGCAAGCTCATCCAATATTCCCAGTATAAAATAGGTGGCAGGGCCACTGTTAGACATCATGGGGCCCTGTGCAGCCAAACTGACGGGGCCCCCTTTGACCTTAGCCTCGACTAAACCCCTGGTCCTGATTTAAAACAAGCAGCCTTGTCTTCAAGTGTTATATATAATAATATGGAATAAGCATACAAATATGAAAGGCCAGGGCCAGCATAATGCAACTTAGGCAGCTGCCTTAGGGCACTGAGTGGGGGGGGGGGCAGTAAAATCTGAATCCCCAGCCACTTGCTGGGGATTCAGATTTTCTATAATACTAGTCTTATGTCCCTCCCCCACCAGGCAAACTTAATCTGCCATGCTGCTCTCAGTAGGAAGTAGGTTGCAGCATGGAAGTTTTAGTTTGCCTACACAAGGCTGCTGTCAGAGAGAGGAAAGAGCAGTAACTGGCAGGCAGGGTGGTCTGCGTGTCCTGCTATTAGAATATTAGAATGGATGTGCCAGGATGCAGAGGAGGTCAGAGTGGTGGATTAATCCCAAGTGTCTGCAGGGAGCACACGGGGGACACTGTCAGGCAGGCTCCTGTGTTGTCAGGAATGATGGTGTATGACCAGCTGTGTGGGGTGGGTGGAGCCAGGGGGTGCCAGTGGGTGGCCCCATAGAGGAGAAGGAAGAAGAGGACAAGATCAGGGAGGAGGAGCCTTACCCCCGCTCTTTGCTGCAGCCAGAAATCTTCTCCTGCCTGGGAAACAGTACCTCTCCTGGCACTAGATCCTCTACATCAACACCATCTAGAGGAGATGCTGCAGGATAGGGCTGCAGGATAGGTGAAATATGGGAGGACTGGTCATTCCTAAGGTGTGTGTGATTAGAGTGAAACTGCCCCCCTCTTGTCATGCTGCCCCCATGTCACACTGCAGTGGGACAGGTGAGGGGCAGCGGGAGAGGCGAGGGGTCAATGGGACAAGTGGGACATAGAGGGATAGGAGAGGGAACAATGGGACAGGAGGACAGGAGGGGGGAGAGCAGGACAGGAGAGGGGACAGCAGGATAGGAGGGGGAACAGTGGGACAGGAGGGGAGATAGCGGGAAAGGAGGAGGGACAGCAGGACAGGGGATGGGTGGGGCACAGTGGGACAGGAGGGGGGACAGGAAGGGGGCAGCCAGACAGAAAGGAGGCAGTGGCACAGGTGGAGCACAACAGGAGAGGAGGGGGAACATGTGGGGGGCAGTGGGACAGGTGAGGCACAGCGGGACAGGAGGGGGAACAGGTGGAGGGCAGTGGGACAGGTGGGGCATAGTGGGACAGGAGGGGGACAGGTGAGGGACAGTGGGACAGGTGGGGCACAGCGGGAAAGGAGAACAGGAAGGGGGCAGCTGGACAGAAAGGAGGCAGTGGGACAGGTGAGGCACAGCGGGACAGGACGGGGGCCAGGATGGGGGGCAGTGGGACAGGAGGGGCACATGGGGACAGAAAGGGGTCATTGGGATAGGTGGAGCACAGTGGGACAGAAAGGGAGATAGGTGAGGGGCCGTGGGACAGGCAGGAAACAGCGAACAGAAAGGAGGCAGTGGATCAGGTGGGGCAGAGCAGGACAGGTAGGGCACAGTAGGACAGGAAGGGGGCAGTGGGACAGGTGGGGCACAGCAGGACAGGAGGGAGAACAGGTGGAGGGAAGTGGCACAGGTGGGGCACAGGAGGACAGGTGGGAGGCAGTGGGGCAGGTGGGGCACAGCGAGACAGGAGGGGGGGACAGATGGGGCACAGTGCTACAGGAAGGGGGCAGTGGGACAGGTGGGGCCCAGCGGGACAGGAGGGGGGACAGGTGGGGCACAGTGGGACAGGAAGGGGACAGCAGGACAGGAAGAGGGCAGTGAGACAGGTGGGGCACAGTGGGACAGAAAGGGGACAGCGGGACAGGAAGAGGGCAGTGAGACAGGTGGGGCACAGCGGGACAGGAGGGGGGGACAGGTGGGGCACAGTGGGACAGGAAGGGGGCAGCGAGACAGGTGGGGCACAGTGGGACACATGGGGGCAGTGGGACAGGTGGGGCACAGCGAGACAGGAGGGGGACAGGTGGGGGGCAGTGGGACAGGAAGGGGGACAGGTGGAGCACAGTGGGACAGGAAGGGGGCAGTAGGACAGGAAGGGGGCAGGTGGGGCACAGCGGGACAGGAAGGGGGCAGAGGGACAGGTGGGGCACAGCGGGCCCTCTCCTGCTTAATGCGCATACTTAATGTGCATCTGATGAGTGCACATTTTATATAAATATCACACGGATTGGATCACACAAATTTTCGCCAGAAGTCACTATTGGTTATATGTGAAGGAAACACCAATCTGCTGACCTGATCACGTCAAGCCTGGACTATTTTGAACACTTATCTGAATTTCCGACTTTTTGATCTTATCACACTCCTATTTTGCGCTTGATGATGTGCTTTATTCACTTTATAGTCTTATAATAATGTTACTGTATTAGCGATATTATTTATTCATTGGTGATAATTATTTATCCAGCACTGCACTTTTTTATTGATTGGTTTTCACTGGGTTTTAGGGTTCCTATGCTGGTGCATATGCAGCTGTTTTAATATTAATCCTCATTACCTTGTAGTTTTTCATTTTATTTATTCTAATTTGAGCTCTCGCTATAACCCTGATAGAAGATAATATTAACCAATCAGAAAATACATAGAGGGATCACTACAGGTGTATTGTGTAAAAAATAAAACAAATGGGGCATACAAATCATTTTTATCAGGTTAGCTCTACTCACCAAGGAGAGCCATAGCTTGTTTCAAATTTTTACCTTGGCCTTGAACCGGAGAGGAAGCTGCATGACACTCAGACTACAGAAATCCGCAATATCATTCACAAAATCATTCCCAGATATTTGAACGAGTCACTGGAACTGCAAAGTGAGCAGCCTATTTCATTCAATCAACCAAAATGGCTCCAAGGTTTCCAGGCCTTAAAGCAGTAAAGATACCCCAAAACATAACTGTACAGCATCCACCATGCTGCACAGTTGGTATAAGGTTCTTCTTCTAATATGCTTTCTTTAGTTTTCGCCAAACAAATTTGCTGACGCTTTGACCAAATGTCTCTATTTTAATTCATTGGTCCTCCTCACATTGTTGCACAAGGTTTGGCCATTGCCTATGTGTTCCATAGCAAACTGCAGTCTTGTTCTAGTGCACTTCTTGGACAGCAAAGCCCCTTTTCCTTGTCCATCTTTCATACGGTTAAATTTGTGCAATCTCTCTCTGGTTATAGATGCATGCATTTCATGCTATTTTCTGTATAGTTTTGTCAAGTCTGGCCATATTTTGGTTATTCTCATCCTCTCATATTTGGCTTAAATCCAACACACTTATAAATGTTCTAATTTTTAAGTTTCTTAGTGCTTTGCACAGATACAAACAAGGTAATTGTGTTCTAAAACATTTTGAAGTCACTTTTGTTCTTTGATGTCCCTTTTGGCTATTGAACCAATATTGGTCCAATGGTCAATATTGTTTCTGCCTAAAGTCTTTTCTATTTGTGTAGTAAAAACATTGCACTCGTCTACCCTTGTTAGATTCTCCTCTAGTGCACAAATAGCTACTACTACTTTTATAAATGTAGACAGGAAAAATAAAATTAGAGTTACTGACCATAATTAATGTTTGTAGTTTATACCCTTCTATGCCAACTGGGGATACCAATAGGTTAGATACCAATGTTATGTATCAAACGCTGAAAGTTTGATAGAGTCAGAAAACTTTCTTACTGATCTTAAACCTACGTTATTTGTAATCCAATAGAGTCAGAATCTGAAGCACATTTAAAGTGGAACTTTGTTTTTCTCACTCAACATTGACTATTTTTAATCCTTATACTGCTAGCAGTAGTAAATAGGTACTAACGCATATCATATTTACTTGTTTTAAACAATTTATTTCCTGTTTCTTCAGTTACTTCCTGGCTTCTTGCCTGGGATAATAATGTCATACATCCCAGGTTTCTTCAGGAAGAGAGGGTGGGGTTTTCTCAGCTAAG